ATGTCCTTGGATTATAAACTTATGGAGGAAACCATAAAGGTTGATATATACCTTGCGATTTAGAAAATGTTAAGGAAGCTACCCCAATATAAATTAGCAAAGGTTTTATGACTTATCTCAGGTGGAAAAAAATGGTTTGTGCCTCTAATGAACATATGCTTAGCACCTCTAACCAGTATATTGGAATTATGGATGTGTTGAACTCGCTTTCATGCATTTGAGTTTGAGTTTTGCACACACTTATTGGTTGGAAGTGACTCTCTAATTTGGTTATTTGCATAATCATAGATACTGGATAATTAAAATTTGAACCTTCCAATAATGATAGATCCCAGTCACATACATACCCTCATTTTCTTCGGTAACGCATCTTGCCACAGTTCCCTTTTGATTGTTGGTGTCAGGACATAATCATCTCTATGTTGTTGATTACAAATTTGATACGCAACTCACTTTGATATGTTGGATGGGGCTTTGACTGTTAATCAAAAGTTTTGTGTTGAAAGCATGTGTATGGTGAAATATACATGAGTATACCTGTCACACCTTGAGTCCGTAAGGCAGTGCACCCCGGCAACATGAGACGTGATGAAGTGATATAAAGACTTGTTATGTATTCACAAAGAGAAACATGCGTATACAAGAGATACAATAATATATATATATATATATAGTATATATATATATATATATATATATATATATATATATATATATATAATATATATATATACACACACATACATACATCTAAGTGAACAAAGGAATTGAATTAAAAGCTAATTCATTAATAAAAATTCAAATAATCAATACATTCAAATATCAATAATCCTGATACAAGTCAAAAAGAATATAAATATAACCATCAAATATCAATAATCCTGATACAAGTTAAAAAGAATATAAATAGAACTAAAAAGTAGAAAAGAAACTACCCAACCCAGAAATCATAAACAAAATAAACTATTACAAATTAAATAATAGATACCAAAGACAATTTACTACTGGTAACCTTGCTCCTGATGTGACGGTCCACTAAACACGCCTACAGGGCATGTTGAAAAAGACAGCGGGTGAGTTTGATAAATCAAACTCAGCAAGTAGCTCCTATCTATTAGAACATAAACAATAAAGGAATAGGAAATGCAGTAAGAACAATCAAAAGAGAGGAGTAGTAATCTATAATCCCTATATCAAAAACCACCTTGAGATATGCCATATTTTATAATCTTCTAATATGCATTTATATATGTCAAATGATTATTGATGCCCAATTATTATAATGTTTATAAATACACCACAATAGGTATTCATGTACCTCATAATGAAATGTAAGTCATATATTATTTATAATTCATATCCATTTATATTTTCTTGCATATATAATTATTGTCGATTTAATATATACCCACACCAGAAAGGTAAACATTAACCCAATGAAATCTAGTAATTTCTTGTAGAGTTGTTACTCTGGGGGGCCCGTCGACCCTGTCTTGCAAAAAACTAATTCGGTTTTATCGACATACATGCAATCATACAGTCGGAGGTTTTTTTAAAAAAAAAAAAAAAAAAATCAACAGGTATTATATAAATCAAAATGACAAATTATAATTTATATAATCAAAATGATTTACAACAAAAGTATCATGAACAATATTAAATAAAGCTAATGAATATAGATTAAATTTTTCTACAGCATGAACTATTTAAATGCTGACAGCTCGTGTATCAACAAATCAAGATAATATTATTTCTATTTGATACGGCATCGCAAAATCATCTTGATCGGGCACGAATCTCGAGGCAAAAACCTAGTTGGAAACTTCAAAAATTAATTTCGGGAGCATATGAACTCCGATTAAGATCTCTGACATGTACAATATTGATAATTATGAGAAATAGATATGGCAATTTAAATAATTATAAAATAATTTCGATACAAATATCACAGAGTACGCCCCTCACAAATAATAACATGTTCACACCAAAATAAATAACAGTTACTTACAGCAGTTTCCACAAACTCCAACCTCGAAAACAGCTTGCTCGACTCCACCAAATAGCAATCCTAAGTAGCAAAACCAAAATAACATTAAGCACATCCATCGAGGCATAAAGAAGATTATCCTAATCAATCTTAATCACTCCATTAACACTTAAATTAATTATGAAATAATACGATCAAAAGATATAACCTAAGGTTTGATTAAGAGAACATCAAGCTTAGATAAAACCTTTTCTCCAAGGCAATTCAAAACTCCTATGAGAAGCTTAAGACGATGTGAAATATAATACAAATTAAATTTAGCCTTGCAATAGAAGTTGAAAGAAATCTTACATAGAGTATTGGAAATATAAGAAGGAGAAAGAGGGAAGCAGAGGGAAAACTCACTACACAAGGAGAGGAGTTTGAGAATAGTTCGCTAAGAGCTACTATTGTGAGCAAGTAATGAAGCAAGAAGCTCGACGACTGCTGTGGGAAGAAAAGAGAACTAAAAATAATACACTAAGTTGCTTATTGTGTTTAAATTTGAGAGAGCTAGGGAGGTTGGCAGGGGTGGGAGGATTTCAAAATAGCGGAGAAATCACGTGATTTGTGTGATTGGAGTGAGGGAATGACGGCGGTGAAGGCCATTTGGTCCGCTCACGTGCATGAAGGGGAGCGGGCGGCTGGCGCCACAAGCAGGAGAAATCCCGAACCGAGTGAACCAATTCGTATTATAACAATACATTAACGGCTGAAATGTCCAAAAAAAATAATACTATCTCAACATCGATGTCTGATGCCTTCACAGCATGTACGTTTCAAAGTCATATGAATAGCAAAGACTAATGTTGTCTTGATGTTGATGTTTGATACTAGCAATTTCTACATTCACAATCATACCCCTAATGCCATCTTAACATCTTATATTTATCCAATGTCATCTCAACATTGACACCTAATGTCGATTGGCCAACATCGATGCTTAACTCTCGATAGTATTGTCATAAGGGGGAGCCTTATCTTACAGTCTAAGGCCTTTTGCTTGGTACAATTTTCTTGCTGCTTTCTAAAGTAAAAAAATGTTCTGCATGAAGCCTAAGAATATAAATTGATATTCAAGGTTTTTGAATTAATATATAAAATCTCCATAGTCATAAGAAAAGTTCTATTTGTATAGAATCATGTAATTTTAAACAGCTCAACCATTATACAAAGAATAGAGATGTACGTGTAATCCACCTTACATTCAAAGATTATATATAGTTAAAAAGTTACTAAAATGTACCAAAAGCATAATATTTAACTTTTGATAAGATGTAGAGAGAGAGAGAGAGAGAGAGAAGAATCGAGTCAGATTGACAAATCAAACCAAACACTTCTAGAAAGCAATCCAAATTTTTATAACTTTCATTTAGTTTATTTTTAGTTAGGATTTTGTTTGAATTATAATTTATTTTTTTTAATTATTAAATATAGTAGAGAAAAAAGTATAACTCAAAGCTTCATTGCCACATCACTTTTTGCTTAAGCAATCTTAATCCAATAAAGAAAATAATGACGAGTGGATCACTATTTTCAAGGAAGTCCTCAATTCACACTTTATTTATTTTTTATTTTTTGAAATATTACGGACAATTTAGACTTAAGTTTGAAGGTGAATATTTTTGTGAAGTGGCCCTTGTCTTATCTACTTTAGCATTGCATTTGGCTTAAGTTAGATCCATATAGTTTTATCAGTTTTTGTTTTTCACTTAATATTGATAAATCTGCTGCACTAATATGATGCGCAATATCATTTGTGCGAATTTCTTAAAATCTTCAAACATTTGGAGCAAAATCAAATGTCGTTTAAGCAACATACACATTATGATGAGGTTTCATACTATTTTAATTCCCATGCCGCACATCCTAATGGCCTAGCCTTAATCTTTTAGGATGGCTATAAAGGAAGGGGAGTGCGAGACATTGCAATATGAGTTTTTGTATATAGTATCAACTCATCGGTTATGATTTCATTACAATATTATTAATATTTGTTATAACTTTATGAGGAATCTTCAGAGCTTCTTGCGCTTCTTGCAAGAGAGAGGGGGAGAGAGAAGGAATGATAGATTTTACAGGAGAAAAACTAGTCTAAAGCTTTATTCAATTTCCCCCAAATTATACATCAGCCTACAATGCATATATATATAAGCATTTACATTGTTATTGTAACTTGCAAGATCAACCTATCCTAAAATTGGACCAACATCTCAAAATATTTATAAGCATTAAAGTCATAGAGAATTCAAAATATCATAAGAATACTAATTGGTGGGTAGCCACTTAATCAACGTGCATTGGAAATAGCTTCACGCCCTACTTATAAACTCAAATGTTATTGACATAGGGCTTGTAGTTTATTAAAATATGAAACATCTTTTTGGAGTCTTTATAAAACTAATTAATTAGGAGGTGACAAGCTACATGCATCATGCAATTATATTTATTTTCATAATTTTAATATTTCCTTATTTGTATATAATTTTAACATTTTCTATAATGCAAATTGTTTTAATAGAAAATAATACCATGTAATGGTGACATAAGAAGCTTAAGGAATCCAACACAACATCTCTGCTATAATAATATTTTTATTTAAATCATCTCAAAGCATAATAAATAAATAAATATATATATAACCTTTATCAAAATTATTTATATTTCTTGTTGCTCTATGCTAATACACATATAATGAATTATTACTCATTATGGCCCACTGTGCTAAGAAAATTATATTTTAAACCATTCAAATAATTATACATTATGGATTTTTTTTTTTAATTTTATGCAAAAACTATTAAATATTTTCTGCAAATATTATTCCCTTCCATTCTTTGAAAGGGTAACGGGAGGCCCAAAGAGAAATAAGCACTCAAAGCGAGGTAAAAGCCCAAGAGAATTTGGGTCGAGCCTTCTCTGCCCAAATAAAGCCTTTGGCACATTACTTTGCTTGCAGCCCAAGAAACAAAGAGGAGCCTAAAAGGACGGATTCTGTGCTCTTTCTTTCCAGCTGATTTCCTCTGCTCTTCTTCTTCTGATAATCTTATCGTTAAATTAGGGTTTGGAAGTTCTTCGGTACGCAATCCAATACTTGCTTCCATAACGCGGTCTGATCTACTCCTGTCAAAGTCGGGACTCCAATGGAACCGGAGAAGCCAAACGGCAGCACCGGCGGGGGTGGAGTGCCGCATCCGTCCACCTTTCCTCCATTTCTGACGAAATGCTACGATATGGTGAACGATCCCGCTACGGATGACACTGTTTGCTGGGGCGATAGTGAAAATACCTTCATCATTAAAGATCAGCACACTTTCTCACGGGATCTTTTGCCCAAGTATTTCAAGCATAGTAATATCTCCAGCTTTATCAGGCAACTCAATACTTACGTGAGAACACCCTTTACCCTCTCAGCTAATTGTTGTGTATCATTAGTCCTTTTCTTTCTTTCTGTAATTACCGTATTTTTTTTTCTTGACAGTACAAAACGCTAAGAATAGCATATGATCATTGAATTAGGATTCCGTCATTTGGGTGAATTTCCTTATTTTGCTGGATTCTATATCTGGAATGTTTTCTCTATGGAATTCTAAGTTATGTCGATATATAAATTTGAATGGACCAGAATAATGTGAGAAACTACTGATGCGTGATGCTATTTGGATTTACAAGGGTTTAGAAGTGAAGGATTATTTTTGGAGTGACTCCTATGTTTTAAAAAAACATCGATATCCTTGGTTCAATTTTCTTGGACCGTCAAACAATTGCAGTGTAATAATTTCCTTCGAATGTGCTGGTAAGGCTTGGTGGTGTAAGGCTGTAAGCATCACGTGTACACGGGGATAAGATTGCGAGTCCTGTCCATAGTGTTTTACTAAATCTACTAAGTGCATACTTGATTGTCAGAATAGTCTTCGGATTATGGTTAATGAACCTGTTTTTCTGGAATATATAGCAGGCATTGATTCAATATCATTGTCGCCACAAAATTAGAGTAAGATTTATTTATCTATTTGATATCTGTAGCTGTTTTTTTAATATTTGAAGGTCTCTCTCTCTCTCTCTCTCTCTCTCGACCATCATACTAAGAAAGCTGAAAGAATCAGGGAGAGCAAGATGGAAGCAAAGAGGAATCTCTCCAAGCACAAGTAAAATTGGCTATAAGATGAATCTCTTTTGAAAACTAATTCTCTCTGTAGTTTCTTTTTGTTCCCATCTGAAACATAACCTAAGGAGCAATAATCAGTTGCTGTTGGGAAGATTTAATGCAAAATGATATCTACTACATCTAGTTTATCCCTTTACAATTAAGAATTTTTTTATCTTTAACTTGTTTGTCTTTACCCTTCCATAAATATGAACTCGTACTTTAAAACCAACCCTATCCATCGTCCCAAGTAATTGACTTTTACAAACACTCTCATATTGTGTTAATTATGAACCACTTATGTTAACTCCACCTACAAAGCCTACATGTAAACCTTAATAATCATATGTAAGTTTAACAAAGATTAAACTCAACCATTATTATTTTGCTATCAACGCATAAGATATTTCCTTAATAAGAAAGGAACCATCATGATGAAAATAAGAATTACCTATCTATGGTTGAATGTATGGAAGTAGAAGCTTCTATGGATGGTCATTGAGGATTTAGAGTGAAGATTAAATAAAATAGAATTACTTGTTTGTAATCTCCTTGGACAGATGACTCTCTAAAAAGGAGGCCAAGAGCTTCAAGAAGAGGGAGAAGAAGGTGCTTAAGTAAAATACAAATATAACTCACTTGACTCAACAAAGTACAATAGTTATAGAACAGTAAGCAAATCTTCCCAAGTTGTAAAGTGGCCACTAAACCTTTCTACAATAGCTTTAGATGAACAAAATTGATTTCATTCAATATTAACCAAATGATACATGGGAGAGGTATTTGAAAAGCATAAGCATCCTAATCTAATGGTGGCTGACCAATAAAGGATTTTGCAAAATTTTGCTCACCAACGAAAATTCTCGTGGATTGATGTTGTGTCTAACAACTTAAAAAAAAAAAAAAAAAAAATCAATCACATAAACTAGTTGCAAAATTTGGCCATGCCCAAATTGGATGTAGAATAGTTCTCTTCTTTATGCAATTTTCAATCAAATTTACGTTTCTTGAATTGGAGGGCCAACCAAGGGCCTTTTGGAGGGAATGTTGAACTTGATTTAAGTACTCATAAATAATTTGGAGATAGGAGCCGGCCAAACAAGTATTGGATCATGCTTGATGTGCTTCATAGGACCCTTTTTTTAACATTTAATTCTTCCAATATAATTTTTTGTCATAATAACTCCTAGATTTTCAGTTTCATAGATCTAAATTTTGTTTTTATGCTGGATCTTGTTACAACATTTTATTTTTTATCTATCCAAAGCATAATTTTTCCTCTTAATAATTTGTATTGTAAAGTTGATCTCCTATCAATCGTATAAGCCATATAAACCACATTTATGTACTTCAAGAGTCAAATCCTCCCCCTTTTTTAATAGAATTCTTTTGTCCAGGGTTCTCTTTATATGTTGTAGAATCTTATATAGTGTCATAAAATGTGATTCTTTACTATTATTCAAGAATTGAATTACAATGATAATTTTTGAAGCAATGTTGAGTCTAGCATGTGGTAAGTAAATAAATCTTCTCACGATTGATTAGAAGTTTTTTTTTACCATTTTGTTTTATGAGGTGTCTTCAAATCTATGATAAAATTTAATTTGGCTTTTTGACAAACTTGCATCCCAATTTTCTTGTTTCTTTCAGTTGGTTTGTTATAGATTTTTATTGTGATATAATTATTTCAGTAGAGGTAGACATAAAAAAACTTGAATATAAAATATTAAAAAAATGATATTTTTTATTAAATTCAAATGAGAATTTGACTTTTAATAGGACATAATGGAGAAAATAACCAACCCCTCGTAGTGTGATAAAGGGTTGTTTTTGTTGTTGTATAAAGATTCCATGTTGGAAATGTATAAGCTTAATATCAAGAAATACTTTAGCTTGCCTAAAACTCTGACTTCAAATTATTGAAGCAACATATTCGTTAAGTTTTTCATTCCATCTGATTCAATATAATGTCATCAATATAAACTAGTTATGCTAAGACTTTGACTAAAGCTACTCGTTTTAAAAATAATATATGGTTTTCTCTACTTTATATCCCATGTTAAGTATCACCTAAGCAAATCTTCCAAACCAGACTCTTAGAGATTATTTCAATTTATATTATATATTTTTGGTGTGCATTTGTTTTTAAACCAAATACTTGTGGTATCTTTTTTATACCTTCTTCTCCAGATCACTATAGAAGGCCTTTATAACATCAAATTGTTGACTTTTTCAGTCCATATTAGTTGCTAATGATAAAAGAGCTCGAACCGTGTTCATGCGAGCAACCAAAGCAAAAATTTCAATGTAATCATACCCATACATTTAAGTGTAATTTTTTACATTGAATCTAGCTTTATACCTTTCTAGTAAACCATTTAATTTATACTTTATAATAAAGCCCCATCTATATCTCATTGATTTCTTTTTTTATGTAAATCCATCAAATCTTATGTTTTGTTTTTATGAGGAGATTTCTTCTCCTCTTTCATAGCATTATTCACATTCTTATTGTTTAATGCCTTAGAGACTATGTTAGGGATTGAAAAAGTATGCAACTACTAAGGAATGATATTTCTTATTCTTATTTTTTAATGTTATTGCTTCTTTAAGATAAGTAGTTATAAAAAGTAATGCTCTTCTTCATTAAGAGTGATATCAGTTGATAGATATTTATTGTAGTGGGGTGCCAACATATGCACTCTTTTTATATTAGTTAATAGTCAATGAAGGCATATTTAATTGCTTGTGAGTTGAGTTTTCCTCTATTTTGGAAATACCTATGAATAATGACAACATTCCATATATTTTGAGAGTATTGTTATTTGAGATATTGAAGGAAAGAATCTGATTAGGATTTGTGTATGACTTTTAATTCGGGAACCTTTGTTGATAACCGATTTATGACATGAATAGTTGTTAAAATAACTTCTCCCAATAATATTTTGAAGTATTATTTTGAAAAATGAAAGCCCTTATGGTAGCAAGCAGGTATTATTCTTTTGATGGGTCACTCTATTTTGTGGGGTGTAATAGACATTAGTACTCATGTATTAGTTTTTTCTTGAAAGTGTAAGGAGAGAGAATTGTTTAAATAATTTTTAAAATTATCAAATCTGTCTCTTTTAATTTCAACTCTGAATTTATTTTTGATCATGTTTTAAAAGGTGAGAAAGATGATCTTCACAACACATTTGACTTTTATTAAAAAAATCCAAGGAAAACAAGTACAATCATATTGATAAAATATATAAATCATTGAGCCCCTTAGATGATAGGTACTGTAGTGAATAGTCTCCAAATATTACCTTCAATGCAAGAAAAAAGAATAAGGGCCTTGTGCCACTTATTGGAAAGTTAATAGTTTGTGGTTAGCCAGTTCACAAACATCATAGTGAATGTCTTTAATATTGATTTCTTTAAATATTATAGGAAACATAGTTTTGAGAGTAACAAATGATTGGTAATCAAGAAAGTGGTGAAACTAGATCTTATCTTTATTGCACAGTGTAAATGCATGTGCACATGGTGCACGTCAATAAAAAATTTTAAAAATTTAAAAATGATATAATAAAATATAAAATTAAGTTTTGACTTTCATATCAATGATATTAAATGCTAGATGAATATTACATGCAATATTTGCATATTTGTAAATAATTTATACATATCAATATGCATATAAATTTCTATTAGTCTTCAAACAAACTCATTAAGGTTAGATGAAAAATAATAAACAAATTTATGTATAATATAAGTGTTCCCAATCGATTGATTTTAAAATTAATATAGAACATGCTAGAAGACTAAATTAGTTCAAAACAAAAAAAAAGTATAGCAAAAAAAAAACCTATCACAATAGTATTTTTAGAGATGTCAGCAAACCATATGGCTAAGCATATTCCTAGTGTTATGGTTGTAAATGAGTCAAATTTATGGGAACTTAGTGTTTGATCTTCCTGGCTCATTAAACAAATGAGCCACCTTTTAAATAAGATATATTTTCAAAATAGAAATCTATTTTATGTTTTTATATGTAAAAATATATTTGTTGCCACTTGCCACACATACATTTATCCATACAAATGCACATATATATTATCGAGCCAACATTGAGTGGCAATCAAACAGTCATATTTTTATTGAACTTGCTATGTAATAATTGAAATATAAGTCGAACTAAAGCTAATTATCAAGTTGAACAGTATCAATGTCATTTTTAATAGCCTTACCTCTTTTGCC